TTCCTTCCTTCCTTCCTTCCTTCCTTCCTTCCTTCCTTCCTTCCTTCTTCCTTTCCTTCCTTCTTCCACTCTTCTTTTCCTTCTCCCTTCTTCCATTCTTTTCCTTCCTTCTTCCACTCTTCTTTCCTTCCTTCCTTCCCTGTCTACTTTTCCTCCCTTCCTCCCTCGTTCCTTCCTCCCTCCCTCCCTCCCTTCCTCTGTCTCTTCCTTCCTCCCCCTCCGCCCTCCTTTCTTCTCCCCTTTCCTCCTCTTCCTCTTCCTTTGTACAATAACAGCTTCCTTCTCCTTTCTCTGAACCCATCAGGGTTTTTAATCTCCAACCCCCGTGGACACTGTATCCTTCATTTCGTAGCTGAACTTCTCCATGTTCCGTTTTTTTATATATATATATATATATATTTCTTCCTGCTTCCGATTGACTCACCTGGAAAGGAAACATTTGCCAAACCCCCAAATCATGCACCTGGATGGACTTCCTTCTTGCCTAGATATTCCTACATACAACTTTGTGATCTTAACAATGGCCTCCCATCAAGCTTGGACCTCAACTCCCTCCCTGAAGGCCTTTCCTTTCTCCTTCCCTTTTGCGCTAAAGACACGAGCTTTAGAAATCAACCAAGATACGAAAGAGGTCGGATCAGCTCTTTCCCCGTTGCCTCGTCCCCAAATCCCTAACCCTTGGCAGTCATTTTGAGAGAGACCACCAAGAATCTTCCCAAATCTTCCCCCCCCAAACCAGATTTATTTTCCTGACTTGTTTTAGACAAGGAGTATGGAAACGTAAACTTCTCGAGTTGTTTTTTTTTTAAACAGCCTCTGCTAAATCAGCTGCTTTGTCCAGAAAAGTGATTTATTTATTTTTTTCAATCTTGAAGCGGTGTGGACTTCAACTCCCAGAGTCCTTCTCTCCCAAAGCAGGCTTTTTCAGCATGAATTCTGGGAGTTGAAGTCCGCGTATCTTAAAGTGGCTGAGGTGGAGAATTCCTGGCATATTTGATTGTGGTTCAAACTTGGGGAAAAGAGGCTGCTTTCCCTTCTTCCCGTTTTCCTTCTGCTGTCCCCGCCATCCTCCTCCCTCAGCTCATCCTTACTCTATTCCTTCCTTTGCTTTGGCTAATTCTGTCTTTCTTTCTAAGCTCTCTTTCACCCCTTCCATCCTATTTCGCATCCGGCAGTCCAGTTTCTGCAAAAACAAAGCTGAAGTGTCTCTTGGTAACTAACCAGGGCAGGTAAAAACAGGTTTTTTTTTTTAATCCCTGCAAAGATCATTTAAAAATAAATAAACAAACGGCCATAGCAGGCAGGGAGCTTTTGACATTTTTTTTTTCCTTCTCTCCCTTTTCCAAGCCTGATAGCAAAAAATGACAAAACACCTTTTCCCCACGATCATTGTTGGAAAAATCGATTAGTAGGGGAGTTCCACATATGTTTTTTTTTTAAAAAAAGAGGTAGAAAAAAATGCAGGAGTCATCATCAGTAAGTCTAAAATCTTCCCAGTGATCACAGTTTGGTCACAACTCCCATGTGGCTGAGAGTTAGAGCAATTTTTTTAAAAAAAATCGCAATCTGCTGCTTTTAGCTAAAGCATCCAACCAACTTCTTGGTTGGCAGTTCCAAAAACCACATTTTGGAGAGGGGGAAAAAAAAAAACAGAACGCAAAAACTTCAGTAGCAGGCAGGCTTGGACTGGTGCTGTCAAAAAGAGGCAATTTTGAATTCTGGCAGCTGTCAAAATAGACTTTTTAGTGTTTGTTTTTTTTTCCGTGAGAGCTTTGCAGTAACGTTGGCTTTGTCGGCATGGATTTGAGATCCCTTCCCTACCATTCCCAGAGGTTTAAAATTGAGGGGCTTTCCAATAAAATATAGAGATTGCTGGTATTGAAATTTGGGGTGGGACGGAGCTTCTCTACTCCTTGTAGTCATTTTAGTCATTTGGAGTTTAGTAATTCTTCGATATTTGTCTTTGGAACTCTGCCAAAATTTTCATCCATTTTTAACCGTTTTACTCCCTATAACTCTCCCCGCTTTTTTTTTTTTTTTTGCTTCCTTCTATGCCTCAGCTTGAAAAATATTGCAAGCTGCAGAATTTCTCACACAAAACACCTCGAAAACATTTTGATTTGACCCAGTCAGTTCCGTGTAAAAAAAATTAACAAATTTGCAATCTTGGCGTAATTGTGCTTTGCTTTTCCTTTCATTTTTTTCCTTCCTCTGTGCAAAGATTAACAAATTTGCAATCCTGTTCTTTAGTGGCGTAATTGCTTTGCGCCCTGGGTGAGTTTTTATTTTTCTATTTGTTTTCTTTGTCTGGCCGAATTTTTGGCATTTTGTCTTTCAAGTTGTGAGGCAGCTAGATTGATTGTTAGATGCAAAAGAGCACTGTAAACCTGTTGGGAATTTAAATCAGAATTTTTTTCTTCCACTCCAGCAAAATTAAAAAAAAAACAAAACACTAGAATTTATTTATACGTATTTGATGTTGTAGCTGAAAAGAATTAAATACTTCACTGATCTATTTATATAATGTCTGGCTTTATTCTGCACAGGTCAGGTCAAGAAAGAGTCCATAGATTTTTCTATTTTATCAAAACTCGCTTTTTAACTGTAGCCTTTTTAAGTTTTGGCTAAACCTTCTCGCTTTATTTTTGCCTGCTGGAACCAAAACTCGGCGGCACACAATAACATGATGTTCTTGAAAGAAAACCAAACCCATCTCTATTTCCTTCACTACAAATTCAACAATTTTTTGTGTGCGTGTTTCGGGGAAGGAACACGTGTGAGCCCTGAGATGCAAGCAGAAGGTTTTCAGACCTCATATCTTGAGGGCAGCCAACTGAAGTGTCAGTGAGAAGAAGAAAGGAGCAATTCTGCACAAGCAATTTTCTCCTGCGTGAACTGTGTAAACGCCGAAAGTTGGATATTGGCAAAGAGTGCGGGGTTTTTTTTCTCCCACCGAAAAGAAAGGAGATCAGATTGCTTTCCAAGATTGCGCCTGTCAAATTCATCTCTGCACACGATATTTTGGGAGAAAAGAAAAGAAAAATCAGAACATCAGTCCGTTTATAAACCAGAAACAAGCTAATAAGCGCTTCTTTTGATCGTTATTTTTTCCCCCCAAAGTGGTTTTAAAGCACCTTTTTCACCTGCAGTTGTGTTTTTGTTCAGCTACAGATGCCTGTAAATAGAATTAAAATTCTGCATTTCACCACGTCCTCTCTTGCATTTCGAGGCTGGCCTATTTTTTTCCCCCCTTGTAAAAACTCCTAAAATTGTTCTTTAAAGGTGTGAAAGAGGGGGAGGCTGAAGTTTTAAAAGATAAACTGACACACATTTGTAGATCATAGCTAACCTAGATCTATCTTTTCCCTTCTTGCCTTCTGCAAAAAGACCCTCCATTTTCCTGGGTCCTCTTTTATTTTTTTTCAGAGAGTCATAATAGATGGAAAAGACCCCATCAAGCTTAAAGTTTATCGTTAGCCACAAGACCTTTTTCTTGCATGCCATTTTAAATCCCCCCTCTCCCTCCTTTCCTTTGTGTCTTTTAGCCTTCGGTGTGATGCAAAAATTCTCTTTCCGTGTCACTTCAAAGTATGACAGGCAGATTATATTTTTCATTTAATTAGTCTTCATCCGATTGGAAGCTGATTCAAAGCGCTTGGCTTTAATTTGTCCCGTGGCTTCTAACGAGCATTTTTCGCCAGAGATGTCGGACTGAAAATTTGTGGGTATCGTAAGCGCTAATCTTAACACAACACTTGGTCGTCGACACAAGGCTGAACTGCTTAAAAGTCAGTCGAGGATGATTAAAAGAAGCTGAATAAGATGTTCATAGCAAAAATTCCTTCTCTCGTCCTGTATAAATCACATTCTTTTTTATTTTAAAGATGGTATTGTACCTGTTCATGTTTTAATCTTGCAAACCTGTACAGTAAACTCTTTCTGTTTGTTTGTTTTGTTTTGTTTTGGGCGGGGTGGAGGGGCTTTTCCTGTGTTTTGTCTTTTCATGTAGAGCAGATATTTGAAAGGGCAAACGGTGAATAAATTTGCAGACACACAACCACGTTTTAAATCTTTTGGGAGAACTGCCCAGGCCGATAAAACGAGAGTTCTTGTTTGCCCTTGTATGGGGTTGCTTTTCTTTTTGGGGGTGTTTCTTTTCTTCCCCCGTTTTCGTTTGTTTTTTCCAGTTTATATGGTTTCTCCTTTCAAATATGTGATTGTATTAGCTCTTTCCATACGAAAGAATTATCCTTATTTAAATTAAAAATAAATAAATGAAAAGTAAAAGTGAGGCGGTTTTGCGTTGTGATTGGCCCAGTTTTGCAGAATGCAGCTTGGAGAGACGGCGGTGAAAAATGTGCCATTGCTGTGCGAAAAAGATCACATTGTATAGCTAAACGTCTGTGGAGATTCTCAAATCATCCAGGTTTGTTGTCCCCAAGGTGCTTTTTCAGGAGGCAACTGGATTTTCTGTTTTTGTTGTTGTTTTGCCTCCTGAAAAAAACACATTTGGGACAAGCATAATCTGGATGACTGAGGAATCTCTACAGTCTTTTAGCTATACAATTTGGGATGAATGCCTTTTGAATGGTGTGAGAGTAGAAATGGATTTCCAGAGGAAAACATTGCAGACTGCAGCACTCGGGTGACCCTGAGGACACAGACAAACCTCCAAGGCGCCTCAACGACTCTAAAAGGATGCAAATGACCAACTGTCTGCAAGGAATATAAATCCTTCCATTCCCCACTATCCTGGGAGAGCTGAAGAAGCTTCTCAGGTGAAAAGCGAAAAGTCTTCAAAGGAAAAAGTCCAGTTACCTCCCAAAAAAAGCATCTATCCAACTGCCCCTCTGAAATTCAACAATTATCATTCACCCCTGTGAAGTTTTGTTTACCCTGTTGCCAATCATTGATGCAAGTAATGCAATTAGCAATTTGCTAGTGTCAAAGCAAGATTTCACTAGGGTGAATGTGATATCTGCACAAGAAAAATAATTTCAAAATAAATTTCATTAGGGTCACTATGTGGTGGGCATTTGCTCAGCCGCGAATAGAACTACAGAAATTGGGTAATGCAAATAGATTCGCAGAGAGGGATTTAGTGTAAAACATCTGGCAACATTGGCCTGATTCTAGCATTATGATTGTGTAAAATATTGTAAAAATCGCTTATGACTGGTGTCTATAATATCCAAGTCAGAAAAATTGGCATTGCACGTGGCTAGGAATTCTGGGGAATGTAGTTTCCAAGGAAAGCAACCAGGTTGCAAGTAGACCCAGGAAAAAAATAGGACATGGACTCCTCTATGGTTTCTTGTTCCTATGGCAACTGTCCGGGTCTGTGATGTCACCTCCGGTCCTATCTTCCTGCTTTCTCCACAGTAGAGGCGAGCGGAGCGGATCATATGTTCGCCTCCTCCTTCCCCCCCCTTTTTAAGAATTGGTGCGTCCCATCTCCGCCGCCTGAACAGCGAGCGGTACGAAGGCGAGTTCATTCCAGGAAAAAAAAGGGGGGGATATAAATTACGGAGATTGAACCAAGCAGGCGAGCCAGAAGTCAAGGGAATCGGGTGAGTTTCTCGAAATAATCAGAAAAGAAAGTTAAAGCAATTCCCTCCGGGTATTCTTGATCAGATTTAGACCTTTTCTTTCTTCTAGGCGTGCCTATCAGCCTTTGGGACGGACGCGGGGTGCAAAAGAAGAGCAGGGCTTGGTGCAAAAGAGGGGAAGGTATGGAAGCAGAGAGAATAATTGCTGGAGAGTTTGCAGGTTCCAGTGTCGATGTGCGGTGTGCTCAAGGCATTGTTGCGCGATATATAAGCTATTCCAATGAGTCAAGCTGCCTTTTGCAATGGACCGAGGGGTCAAGGCTGATGGTTGATAGTATGGTTGGTCGCCCAGTCAGCCAGAGGTTTAGACTGGATTTTAAGATTAGATTAGATTAGATTAACAGAGTTGGAAAGGACCTTGTAGGTTATTTAGTCCAACCTGCTGCCCAAGCAGGTGACTCTACACCATTTCTAACAGATGGCATCCCAGTCTCTCCTTGACAGCCTCAAGTGATGACGCTCCCACAACTTCTGAAGGCAACTTCTGTTCCATGGGTTGATTGTTCTCCCTGTCAGAAAGTTTCTCTTTGTATCCAGGTTGAATCTCTCCTTGTTCAGTTTCCATCCATTATTCCTTGTCTGGCCTTTGGGTGCCTTGGAAAATATCTTGACCCCCTCCTCCTCTCTGGGGCAGCCCCTCAAATATTGGAAGATGCTCTCCTGTCTCCCCTGATCCTTTTCTTCTTCCCCAGACTAGCCAGGCCCTGTTCCTGCAACCGTTCTTCATATGTTTTAATCTCCAGCCCCCTATGTTTTAATCTCCAGTCCCCTCATCATCCTGGTTGCGCTTCTCTGCACTCTTTCTAGAGTCTCAACAACTTTTTTATAGTGTGGTGACCAAAACTGGATGCAGTACTCTAGGTGTGGTCTTACTAAGGCTTTATAGAGTGGTATTAGTACCTCCCTCGATCTCGATTGTATCCCTCTGTTAATGCAATTTAGGATTGCATTGGCTTTTTGGTTCACCTATCAAGTTCAGGGTTAAACTGTGGGCTCCTTGCTACTCTCTGAGCTTGGTTGTATCCTTGCAGACGTTTCACGACCCTACTAGGTTACATCACCAGTGTTAGTGAGTGTGGGGTTTGCTCTCTTGTATACAGTAGCTTTGCCCTGCCAGTGTGGTAAGGATTTTCTCCTTGGTAATTCTTCAACTAAGATATTATTCTCTGCTTGGATTGTCTGGAGTTCATCCCTGCTTAAGCGTTGGCAGCTGGAGGGGATGTTTTTGGTCATTCCTTCTTATATTTTTATGGTTTCTTTTGAATGGTGGGGAAACATAGTTTATCTCTCTGTATCAGTGGATAGCTGACTGGTCTGAATAACATAACTTTTCCAACAGTTTGAGAGCATGCCAGATTTCTTTATTTTCTGAATGGGACCAATTTCCACCCCCCCCTTTTTTTTTTAAGATACCACCAGATCACTCTGAAAAATGCTTGGATTCTTAAAACAGCCAATTGTCTTTTCGGTGGAAATCAATGTCAACCTGGTGGTTTTGACTGCACTTGGATTAATCAGCCGGCTGTGGGCTCTGTCCTATCCCAGAGCCGTAGTGTGAGTAACCATATTCTAATATATGGGGATACCATGGATTTAGTAGACTGAAAATGTCCGTATTGACAATGGCTCTTCCAGGGATTAAAAAGAAAGTTTTTCTTTCCATCTATTTATAAAGACTGTCTGCAGAAAACCTCACCATTGCATTTTTGGAAGCTTTTAATGCAGGCACATAAACTATTTATTATTCAGTCCAGCTTTTGGAGTGTGAAAAAGCCTGGAAAACAAATTTGAGATTAACATTAATCAAGCTGTCATTTTGCACAATGGAGCTAGGATATCTTTTACGCTCTGACGGAATGGTAGCTGAATGGAATTAAACCGCGATTTGGCTTCATGCTACGTTGTGTTTAGGATATGCAAGGTACTTTGCCACTTGTGGACATAATTCAGTCCAAAATTTCAACTGCTGAGGGGGAGAGAGAAAGAGACTATGTTGCTAAAGTCAGTTTTGCCTCAATTTATGACAGAGTTGTTAAGTGGATCGCTTAACAGCCGTGTTACAAATTTAGCAACTGCAGTGATTCACTTGCAAACTATTTTTCACACTTAATGGCCATTCCAGCATTTTTCACACTTAACTGAAATCCGGTGAGTTTCTCTGTTAGGATGACGAATTCAATTCCTTGAGGGGTTTAATGAGAAATATATATATATCTCTCTCTCTCCCTCTTTCTTTCTCTATTATTTTATTGCATTATTCCAGTTTTGATGAAGTTTATTACGGCCAGTTCCTCTCCTTGTACATGAAGCGGATATTTTTCATAGATGATAGCGGGCCGCCGTTCGGCCACATGCTTTTCGCTTTGGGAGGTATGCAACTTTTCAAATAATTACTTTTTTTAAAAAAATCCTTGATTTTACTTTGAGGGTTCTTGAAGTTTATTTTCTTAGCTGCAATCAAGCAATCACTTTAGCCCCGAAGCTCTGACATTCCTGTCATGATTAAGCATTTTATATAGTTGAGTTCTTTCCTTCATCTTCCTCTCTCCCTTTTGTTAGTCATAAGGCCTGAATTTCACAATTTGTGGACCGTGCTTTGCTCCTGGGCAGGAGTTTAATGTATTCTAATATTTTAGAATACCTTGCTTCAATTTGTTCGACTCACCTTGGATCATCTTTAGTCTAATGTGTTTGTGCGGGTTTAGGTTTTATTTATTTTTGTGGGTTTTTATTTTTGTGGTACGCTGCCCAAAATCCATGGCTGAGGAACATATAGACTATATGTCAGTTCACAAAGAGTTGAGCTGATTATTGTGTTTGCAAAAATTTACAAGATGTATGTAGCATCTAGATGGAGAAACTGGGGGAAAAAAAATCTGTGTATTGCTGAAAAAAAAAACCATATGGATACACCCAGATGTTTAGCCAGCATACACCTTTAATTTAAATTTAGGTCCTGCGATCTGGGAAATTTATTTTTCTTTTTCCCTTCCTTTTCAGGTTATTTAGGGGGATTTGATGGAAATTTCTTGTGGAACAGAATAGGAGCAGGTAAAGGTGCTTTTTGATTCACCCTCCGAGCTAATTATTGATAAGGACATGGCCATCTGTTCAGCTGGAAAAAAGAAAACTAGAATGGGGAAAAAATAATAATAAAGGTAGCTGTAATGCTTGCATTTTATATAAATCTTTGGTCTTGTATTATTCCTAAGGATTGATGAGAGATGTAGAAAAGCCAGCTAAAATGGAGGGACAGGTAAATAAGAAAGGTGCAGTAGACAAGAGATGCGGGTAAACCACCTGTAATTGACGCATAGATTGGTACTGATCTTTCTCTTTATTATATCCTAGAGTACAACACCAATGTGCCCATTTGGGCTTTGCGGCTGCTACCAGCCATAGCTGGTGGCTTAAGCATTCCCTTGGCATACCAAATACTGGTTGAGCTACATTTCACCCATTTCGCTGCCCTGGGCGCTGCGGTCCTGATTTTATTCGGTAAATCTCGTTTCTTTTTCCATTCTCCGTTGGTGCCATCATTGTTCAGACAGAATGCTTCCCAAGAGATTTCACTATTCGGTTTGTTTCCCTCAAGCCGTGTTTAATCCTCTCGTTATCTAAAACAGAGCAACCTTTTTGCAGAATTATTCTGTTGTTGTTTTTTTCCCCACAGGCATTTTATTACTTTGTATTCAAAGGATATTATGAATCGCTGTTCTGCCTGTGTGGTTGTTTTGCAGATACACGCCATAAATAATAAAATAAAAGTTAGGCATTGAGATTAGGATGTTTGAAGAATTGTAGCAAAAAAAAAAAGAGCTGTATGTTTGGTTAAAAGGGTTTTTAGAAGCTGGGACATTCCCCACCCCACCCAGTTTTTTTAAAAACATAGCCTGTTTCGGTCCCCATTGGTTGATTGCAAAAATCTGTATCTTTACACTGTTTGCTGTACCTGGGATCTCCAATCCTGGCCACTTTACGACTTGTGGACTTCAATTTCCAGAATTGTGGGACTTCAAGTTCACAAGTCGGAGATTGGAGATCCTTCCTGTAAAAAGCTCATAGAAGGACCAGTATAAGGGGGGAAAAAAAAACCCAATTCTCATTTCTTCTTTTGTGTCTTAACAGAAAACTCTCTAATTACTCAATCCAGGCTGATGCTGCTGGAGTCAATTTTAATTTTCTTCATCCTGTTGGCAGTTTTATCTTATCTGAAGTTTCACAACTTGCAGAAAGAAAGGTGAAAGGTTTCTTTAATGTTCCACCTTTGTTGGTCGTGAAACATAAAGTTCCCCAAAGCAAGCCAAGCAATGTCTTATGCATTTACGCTAAGGGGATGCAAGACTCACATTAACACGGTTTATAAATGGTGGCTTAAGGCTCAGCCCAAACCAGCAAGGGATGGATTCTACCACAAAACTGGACTTAAAAAGTTTCTGTGCATTTTTTGGGGGTAGTACATAATATACAGGTTAATCCTCGACTCACGACCAGAGTTTAGCCCAACATTTCTGTTGCTAAGCAAGACAGTTACTTGTTAAGTGATCCAATATTAAGGAGAAATTTCGTGACAGTGAGAACAATTAACCAGTGGAACAACTTGTTTCCAAAAGTTGTGAATGCTCCAACACTGGGAGTTTTCAAGAGCCTGGACAGCGATTTATTTGTCTGATAAGTTATAAGGCTGGCCTGTGAGTAAATATGTTTTTTTCTCCTTTTTTAAAAGCCCTTTTTCTGCAAGATGGTGGCTTTGGCTGTTACTAACAGGGATCTCCTGTTCCTGTGCGGTTGGGTAAGCTTATCTCTTGATGGTCTGCTAAGATATTCGATAACTGCCTTGCTCATAAAACGTCTTAGCCATGCCCAACTGTGTCTTTAAGACTTGTGGACTTCAACTCCCAGAATTCCCCTTGCTGGCTGAGGAACTCTGGGAGTTGAAGTCCACAAGTCTTACAAGTTCCTAAGGGTGGGACACTCCTGCCTTAGATCTTCTGGTGGTCTCCCCTCTCCCTTCTGGGCCCATCATGGGTTGTCTAGTGTTCTCCTCCTTACCTTAAACCCTTAAAAGGTGGCATTTCATGCTTGCTTTGCAGGGTGAAATACATGGGCCTCTTCACTTACCTGCTCATTCTGTGCCTGGCGGGCATCCATTCCTGGCAGCTGCTTGGCGATCGGTCCCTGCCCAACGTAAGTCGGAGGGTGAAATAGGATGCGGTCGCTCTGAGAGGGTGAGAGTTGATCTCCAGGACTTCTTGGAGAACTTTGGAATTCAGAATCCGTGGGTTTTCGTTTGACACAGCCATTTTTCTTGGAATAGTCAAGGTTGCAAGAAACATGTTTTTTCATACCGGTTTGATAAGTTAGATGTAAGGCTCCCTAACATAGAGCTGTCATATCCATAAATGATAGATATAGATATAGATAGATAGATAGATAGATAGATAGATAGATAGAGAATGATAGATATAGATAGATGATAGAAGATAAATGATAAATGAAGATAAATGATAGATAAATAGATGATAGATAGATAGATAGGGAATGATAGATAGATATAGATAGATGATAGACGATAAATGATAGACGATAAATGATAGACGATAGATAAATAGATGATAGATGATAGATAGATAGATAGATAGATAGATAGATAGATAGATAGATAGATGATCGAGGGGGGGAGGGAGGGAAAGAGAGAGAGATGGATGATAGAAGACAAAGAGGCTGGTTGATAGATTTCATTTTTAGTGGGGAAAAAACCCTAAACCTTTATAATGGCTAAATGAATTAAACATAACATCAAATGATCAGGAATACATGTCTCTCTAATAAAGTATCTATGTGGAAATAATTCATGTTTTTCGGTATGCTGCCTAGAGTCACCTTGTGTGAGATTGATTACCATGTAAATTTGATAGAAAGATAGTGTCTGGTTGATTGATTGATTGATTGAATGAAAGAAAGAATGTAGAGCCAGACACTTCCCTGGGCATCAGTCTTTAGTTTTTTAGAAGCAAACGTGAACCATTCTTCCTTTTCCCTTGTAGATCTCCCTGCTGGGGCATTTCTTGGCCCGGGGTTTAGCTCTCCTGGTCCTTCCCGTCGCTCTCTACCTCTCGTTTTTCTACGTTCACTTGGTTTTGCTGTATCGATCTGGTCCCCACGATCAAATCATGAGCAGCGCCTTTCAAGCAAGTTTAGAGGTGAGACGCAAGCTGCTTCTGGGGATAATTGGTCAAAAGGGGAGAAATTAGGGAGAAATCCCTCCCTCCCTCTTCCTTCCCTCCTCCCTCCCTCTTTCTTTTCTTTTCCTTTCGTTCCCTCCCTCCCTTCCTCCCTCCCTCCCTCTTCCTTCCTTCTTCTTCCTTCCTAACTCCCTCTTTTTTTCTTTCCCTTTTTTCCCCTCCCTCCTTCTCCCTCCCTCCCCCTTCTTTCTTTCCTTCCTTCCTTCTTTCTTTCTTTCTTTCTTTCTTTCTTTCTTTCTTCTTTCTTTCTTTCTTTCTTTCTTTCTTTCTTTCTTTCTTTCTTTCTTTCTTTCTTTCTTTCTTTCTTTCTTTCTTTCTTTCTTTCTTTCTTTTCTCACAAGAGCCAATTTCCTCCCCCTCCCGTCCCCATTTTTTTCACTTTTACTTTTGTTCTTTGAATCTCTATGTTAATTGACCAACTGAATGCTGATGGACTTTTATCTTTCTGCTTTTCGTTTTCTATTTATTGGGATTTACCGATTTCTATGCAGGTAATCCTCGACTTATGACCACAATTGACCCCAATATTTCTGTTGTTACATGACTCATCTGCCCCTTTCTTGCCACCCTTGTTAAGTGGACCACGCCAGTTGTTAAATCAATAGCAAGGCTGTTCAGTAAGTCTGGCTTTCCCCTTCACTCTCTGTGTGTGTGTGTGTGTGTGTGTGTGTGTGTGTGTGTGTGTGTTGTTTTTTAGGGAGGGCTTTCTCGCATCACTCAGGGACAGCCCTTGGAAGTGGCTTATGGATCCCAGATTACTTTGAGGAATATCTTGGGCAAACCCTTACCGTGTTGGCTTCATTCCCACCGGAATACCTATCCCATCAGGTGAGAAGGGAAGTTTTCCAACAGGGATGTTGTGTACAACCCCGGCCTGTCCCACAGTGGGTTCCATCTCTGGCGGATATCTTCAGGAGACGCTGTCTTCTTTGGCGTGGAATTTTTTTTGCCAAAGAAAAGAGCACACTATCTGAGGAGAAATGGCCAATTTTGGCAGAGAGCCAGGCTCCCAGGAACGAGACCAAGCCCCCACCAAGCTCAAAGAGCATCAAGGAGAGGGCGGGGCTGACGTTGTGGCGACATGACATACCTCACGGAGAGCTCCGTGGGGACCGTCGATATCCATCTGCCAGAGAGGTCCTAACGGATCTAAATCACCTCGGAGGGGCCAGGATTGTAGAGAGCACATTCCGTCGATCGCAGGGAGCCCGCAAACTCCCTGATCGCTCTGGAGAAGCCTCTCCAATCTGGCAGCAGAGAAGACGGCCATTACGAGCTATTCCGAAGCTGGGTAAAATAAATATTTTTTTCCTGTGACCTAAAAGGGCCCTTCGGATTATCTTGCATTCCTTCTTTTCCACAGAGGTGGTCACGCCCCGTTCTCTCTGTGTCTTCCCCAGGTACGACAACGGACGGGGCAGTTCCCATCAGCAACAGGTGACCTGCTATCCGTTTAAGGACGTGAATAACTGGTGGATCATCAAAGATCCTGGAAGGTAGGCCTCTTCAGGTAGTCATGTGACCATTCGAAGTTACAAGACACTGAAAAAAAGTCACGAAAGTTTTTCATCCTTATGACCATTGCAGCATCCCCATGTTTATATGATTGAAATTCAGCCTCACATTTATGACGGTTGCAGTGTCCCAGGGCTCATGCAATCCCCTTTTGTGACCAGCAAAGTTAACGGAGGAGACAGATTCACTTAAGAACCATGTTGCTAACTGAAGAGCTGCAGTGATTCACTTAACCAGGGTGGCAAGAGAGGTCATAAATTGGAGAGGTCGTAGAGAGAGGTCGTAACAAAGCTCACTTCACAAATGTCTTGCTTAGCAACCTATTTGGACTCAATTATGGTTGTAAGTTGAAGAATTTATTTGTCCAAGTGTGATTAGACACACAAGAAATTTGTCTCTGATACAGACACACTCAGTAAATTTGGAGGACAACAGAGATGATGATGATAATAATAATAACAACAACATTTTGCTGGTTCCAGCCACCGTTTTTTTTGCCTCTCCTAAAACAGGCAGCAGTTGGTAGCTAGCAACCCGCCACGGCCTGTGCGACATGGCAACATTGTTCAACTGGTCCATGGAATCACAACCCGCTACCTTAACACGTAAGCTGTTTCTTCTTTCGGCTTCTAGCTATGTGTCATCTTGAAACTGTTGTAATGGTATATGAGAAACCTGCCAAGCACAGAGAGCCCCGGGGACCTCACAGTTCAACTCTGAGCCACAGATATTCTCCCCTGTCACTTTCTCCACCCTGCAGGCACGACGTGGCTGCGCCCCTCAGCCCACACTCCCAAGAGGTCTCCTGTTACATCGATTACAACATCTCCATGCCTGCACAGAACCTCTGGAGAGTGGTAAGTGCCAGGCTGTAAAGGGGATTGATAAAAGGTGGACTGAGCAAACAAACGAACAAACAAACAAATACATAAATAAAATAGCAATATAGTGCTTTCACAGTCCTCTCTAAGCAGTTTACGGAGTCAGCCTCTTGCCCCCAACAATCTGGTTCCTCGTTTTACCCATCTCGGAAGGATGGAAGGCTGAGTCGACCTCTGGAGCCAGTCAGGATCGAACTGCTGGCAGTTGGCAGAGTTTAGCCTGCAGTACTGCACTCTAACCACTGCGCCATCGTGGCGCTATCCTGGCTCTTAACCCCTTTCCTAATCAGATGCTGCATCTGATAACCTGACAGGATTAATGAAGGCGGAGTATCACCAAACCGCAGCATCAGGAAGTGTCCCTTTCCTCCCCCCCCCCCCCCCCCCCAAAAAAAAACCCCACAGGAAATTGTGAACCGCGACTCAGAAAATGAGATTTGGAAAACGATCCTGTCCGAAGTCAGACTGATCCACGTCAACACATCGGCCGTGTTAAAGGTGAGCTTGCTTGGGGTCTCAACCAATAATGTTTCTTGCAGCCGGTGGTGCAGGGAAGGCATGGAGTCAGAATAATTGTTGGAAGGGACCTTGGAGGTCTTCTATCCAACCCCCTGCATAAGAAGGAGACCTTATATATTCCAGACAAATGGCCATCCAGTCCCTTCTTAAAAACCTCCAGTGATGGAGTACCCACAACTAATTGTTCCACGGGTTAATTGTCCTCCCTGTTAGGAAGTTTCTTCTTAAATCCAAGTTGTTTTTCTCCTTGGTTAGTTTCCATCTGTCATTTCTTGTCTGAATGCAATGACAATAAAGTTTATTCTATTCTATTCTATTCTATTCTATTCTATTCTATTCTATTCTATTCTATTCTATATATAAGTTACTAATACACAATCAAAACATACTAGAAAAACAAATGAAACAATATAAATTGTAAAGATACAAGCAACACGGTTATAGCCATAAGTGGGAAGAGATAGGTAATAGGAAGGAAGAAAAGAAGAATAGTAATACAGTCTTACTAAGGAAGTTGGCATTTTAAATCTCTTTTTTTTTTCTTTCTTTTTAACCATTCCCTTCTTTTCCTCTCCTCCAGCTTAGCGGAGCTTCTCTCCCTGAGTGGGGCTACCGACAACTGGAGGTGATCGGTGAGAAGATCTCCAAGGGATACCACCAAAGCATGTTGTGGAACGTGGAAGAACACCGATATGGGAAAAGTTAGTTTTTAGGAAAACTTCTTTGGACCAGATTTTTAATCCAGGTTTCCCACACAAACACACCCCTGCAAAATACTGGAAAGACTTTTTTTTCCCCAAAAAAACTTCTACTCACTTGAGACCTGGAGAGATAGTCCTTGACTTAACGACCACAATTGAGCCTAAAAAAATCCTGTTGCTAAATGAGGTTGTTGTTAAGTGAATTTTGCGCCATTTAATGATGTTTCTTGCCATAGTTGTTAAGAGAATCGCTGCAGTTGTTAAGTTATTAGAACAGCTGCTGTGTGATACCGCAACCTTCATAAGTACATGCCAGTTGCTAAGTGTCTGAATTTTGGTGAACCATGGAGATGCAACAAAGGTTGTATGAAAAACGGTCATAAGTCACTTTTTTCAGTGCCGTTGTAACTTTGCTCACTAAATGAACTCTTATAAGTTGTCTTCTGTGAGCAGTGGTGTACCCTACCAACCTCAGGCACGCCCCGAAGGATTGTGGGGAGAAAGTTTGGCCCCGACTAACCTGGTTTTTCAAGTCTGTTTTGTTTTAATCTTTTGCAGGCCATGAGCAGAAAGAGAGAGAGGTAGAATTGCACCTGCCCACTCAGATCAACATCAGCCAGAATCTCACTTTCGTTGCCAAGTTCACCGAATTGCAGGTGAAAGAAAGAGCCAAGAAAGGCAGCTTTCGATAAAGCCGCAGGGTGGACTTCAGTTCCCAGAATTCTCAGCAGCTGCCATGCTTGTCCAGGGGATTCTGGGAATTGAAGTTAGTTGGTTGTCATTTCCCCCCTTCCAATTTCCCATCACATACACACACACACACACACAGCTTTATTGCCCTTCCATCCTGCCCCCTTCCAGCCCTCAATGGCAGGATGCCTGTGAGGTGCCAAGCTGAACCAGGCAGAGCTGACACCCAAGCTATGAGTGATACAGCCCCTAAACAAACCAGAATGTTAACCTTGTTAACCTCCTGCCAGCCGGTTTCACATCTAGAGGTGGAGGGAGCGTTGTAGACTTCAAGAGACATTTTGAATTAGGGGCTGTATCACTTGTAGTGTCAGAATTCCAGTGATCGCTCTAATTAAATCATGAGCCTCAAGCCAAACTTTCAAAAACTTCAAATAATTTATGAGGAACAACATACTGGCAATGATCTGTATGAAGCCAACTCTGGCATATGTAATTTACAATTCACCCTGTTTCCACCTCTACCCTGGGTGTCTCATAAATCAGATTCTCCAATTAAGCACGTTCATGGCCTAGTTGTTATCAATCATGTTCTCCAATTAAATATTTTCGTGGGCAAAAGCTCTGGTAGTTTAGTTACAATCTTTTAAAGATAAGTGTTGGAATGTACTTTCACTTACAAACTGCTACACTGCTCTTCCAGATCCCCCCCCCCCGTTTATGGCAACTCTGAAATAGGCATAGGAATGCTGTATGAGTTGCCATGTAGTTCACATTGATATCTGGAAACGTTGTGAAACCCAATCCTTGTGTTTTGTTCTAGTGGAAGATCCTTACCCTGAAAAACGAGGACACGGAACATAAATACAGCTCATCTCCCTTGGATTGGATCACCCTGGACACCAACATTGCTTACTGGTTCCATTCCAGCTCAGGGGTGATTTTACTGGATTTTTATGTGGGCTACAGAAATCACATTTTCTGGAATACATATGGGCAATCTCCAGATCTCCCTTTGCCCCAGAGAGAATTTCAGCAGGCCGCACCCTGCTTCCTTTTTTTAGCTATACAAGCATTCCTCGATTAACAATCACAAACACACAATTTACACTGCTAAGCAAGGCATTTGTTAAGTGAGTCATGCCTTCTTTTGCAGCCTTTCTTGCCATTAAGCTAATCCCTTCAGTTGTTAAATTAATAACCCAGTTTGTTAAAGTGAATCTGGATCCCAACGGACTTGGCTTGTCAGAAGATTGCAAAAGGTTTGCAAAATGTGACACCCCCAGGGACGCTGCAACCGTCACCAATATGAGTTCTCATGTGACCATGGGATGCTGCGAAAGTCATTACGGTGAAAAACAGCCCCTACTTTCAGTGGCATCGTAACACAACTCAAAGCATCTCCTTGATCTTTCCTGGCCAGGCTCAAATTCACCTTCTTGGCAACCTCGTCAGCTGGACATCGGCCAACGTAGCCACCATCGTCTACGTGGTTTTGTTCCTGGGGTACCTGCTCCGGCGGCGGCGGAAAATCCGGGATATCCCTGAAGGTCTGGGACCTCCAAACCCATCTTGATCTTCTGCCCAAGACCCCTTAATTGGGTTGGCCTAAGACCTGTTGTAAGGGACGCCGTGGCTGAGCGGCTAAGATGGCTGAGCTTGTCGATCAGAAAAGGTCAACAGTTCGGCGGTTCGAATCCCTAGCGCCGCGTTACGGAATGAGCTCCCGTTCCTTGTCCCAGCTTCTGCCAACCTAGCAGTTCGAAAGCATGTAAACAATGCAAGTAGAAAAATAGAGACCCCTTTGGTGGGAAGGGAACAGCATTCTGTGCATGGATTCTGGGGAGGGAGCGTGTTTCGCAGGCTGGTTGTGGGTCAGTGTGTCTGTGGACGGACACCCCGACTCTTGCAGAGGAGTGCCAGGCTTCGATGAGGCTCCTTGCAGGTGGGCATTCGCTGCCCCCCGCCCATCCTGCCTGCCAGGGGGGTGAAATGCCGCTAGGTCCATTTCTTGTTCTCCTCCGTGCCCCGTCCTGGCTATTTTCTCAGGCTGAGAAACTGACTTGCCCGTTTTTCACACACACACAACCTCCTGTTTCCTCTGCAGAGACTTGGCAGCAGTGGCTCCTGGCTGGAGGGATCTGCGTGGGCGGATGGGCCGCCAACTACCTGCCTTTCTTCCTGATGGAGAAGAACCTTTTCCTTTATCATTACCTGCCGGCCGTTACTTTCCAAATCCTCCTGATCCCCATCATTTTGCAGCACACCAGCGACTTCCTCTGCAGGTAGATTTGTCCGGACACATAACCTCGCCTCTTCTTCCTTGGGTTTTGATAATAATTTTATTTTATTATAATTTTATTATTTTACACTGTGATTGTAAGGCAAGGACTTCCTGCATTTGTTCAAGAGACATGGATGGAGCATCCACAATTTCTGGAAGCAAGCTATTTGTTCCACTGATTAATTGTTCTCAAGTGTGAGGAAATTTCTCCTTAGTTCTAGGTTGGATCTCTCTCTCTGAAGATCTTCAATCTTTTTCTTAAAATTAATTTTATTTTATACAAACAATCCATCATCTGTTTAAACAGTGTGTCATCTGGGCACAAATATCTTGTGCAATATTAATTACAATTAATTCGTATTCATTACTGTAATATCCATCTTGCTTCATACTACTTTACACAATATATTTAATTATTATAACAATACCCTTCTTAAAATATTTTAATTCTTATCCAAATGTTTACTATTTTTCATTAGTCTTCTATAATTTTCTAATTTCCATTTTTTTATTCTCTAGCCATTGATAAAATAATCCCCATATCATATAATATTCCTTAATTTTCCTTATTGGCAGGAGTTAACCTATTCATTTCTGCACATTCTAATATTTTCCTGGTCACGTTCTCATCTGACGGTAACTTTTCACCGGATTGTATGCACAATGTTGTGCAAATACAATCCTGGCTGCCGTTAACACATGGATAACTATGCCTTTTCTTTACTATAAAGTTCTGGTATAATCCCCAACAGAAATACTTCATCTTTGAAGATCTTGTCCTGCCTTCAGGTGCTTTGGAGAATAGCTTGACTCTCCTCTTCTTCTTTGGGGCAGCCCCTCAGATAATGGAATATACTTGCTATCATGTCACCCCTAGTCCTTCTTTCAATGAGACTAGAAATACCCAATTCCAGCAACCGTTCGTCTGTTTTAGCCTCCCGGATCATCTTGGTTGCTTTTCTCTGCGTTCTTTCCAGACGCTCAGCCTCTTTTTTTACGCTTGTCTCTCTGTTCTCTCCCACAGGTCAAAAATTTCAAAGAGCATGCACAGTGCTTTGGTGGCGGCCTGGATGTCTTCCGTCTACTTTACGTATCACACATTCCGGCCGCTGACTTACGGAAACCCGGCCCTCTCAAAATCTGAGTTACAAGCTCTACGCTGGAAGGACAGCTGGGACATTCTGATCCGGAAACGCTGACACCAAGCCTGAGAAATGGAGACGATGTGTGACCGGATGGCCAACAAAAAGGAGAAAAGAATTCATCTGAAGTCAAGATTTCTTCCATTTTGGAACCGTTCTGTAATCCTAGAAGCAGTGTTGTCGAATTGGAAATGCCTGTAGAATGGATTTGGGAGTTGTTTTGTAGCCTTTTACCCCTCGTATTGGTTTGCAGAGTTAAAATTCAAATGGATAGGAATGTATTTGGACAAGGGAAAGAAATCTCAGCGTTCCGACCAAACTCTCCATCTCAATTCAGCACTCAGAGACAAAAGTCCATCCAAGTAATAATTTATTAAAGACGTCGTATCGGCACATCTGGGAAAACCTGAATCGGAGAGTTCCGGGTTTTCCCTTCCCAAAAGAGAAATCCAAAATCTATCCCCCGCGTCCATCAGTCCATCACATGGCCCAATCAAATCTTCATCCCAACTGGAGACGTTTCCCCCAGTCACTTCCCTCCAGGTGCAGGACAACATGTCCTTGACTCTCTGAGAAAATAATGTTGTTGTGTCTAATCTTCTACCTCGCTAATGAAATCCCCTCCTCCCAAATTCCCAGGCACTGAATGTAACAGCCTCAAGGCTTCCAAGGCTGACAGGGGCCCTTTTGCCCACTCAGGACAGAGAAAAGAGTCACTTGAGCATGGAAAGAGGGCACAGGGCTAGCCTGAGACTCCTTCGATGTGGAAAGGATTCATCGGAGGACTATTCAACTCTGGCAGAACCATCTCTGGAACAGCTATGAAAGAGGAACAAGATGAAATAAATCTTAATGTGAAACTGCTGATTATATCAGCCAATAAAATGAAGTCGGCTCCATGAACCAATACTGAGGCCTCCCAGAGGTGTCATACGGGTCTAACTGGGATCTGGGAATTGAGGGACCTCCCATGGAAGCAGAGCTGATCAGGAAGACGTAAGAGTTAGAGGAATGAGCTTCAGGTATGGTAAGGAAAGGCAGAAGGATGTCATCAGCTACGCAGCTGCCTTGATGAGCCTTGGACTAGGGGGTTCTGGACCACCAGGCAGGCCCTGGGAAGCAGGCGGGGCAGGTGGGGGCTGGGCAGAAGCAGACTTACATCATCTCTTATTTCTAGGGAAAAACCTAGGTTTCTGGCCTTTTCGCTTGGCTTTTATTCACAAAAAGGCTACTTTATTGGAACGTCGCATTGCGTTGCCAAATTTCTTTCCCCGATCCCTTGCTAGCACAAAGCCAAGGAAGAGCCGTTGGTTTTTCCCTAGAGAGAAGAGACAACGTCATGCACGATAAATATGACAAAAAAAGAAAGTGGGGTTGTGGAAAACCAGTCAGCACCTGGCAGGGTAGGAAACCATTGAGGAGCCAGGCTGGGACTCTGTAGCTTTACCATCAATCAAGAAGTCTTAATCTTCCTGGATCAGAATGCAGAAGAAAATAAAGTCCCGTGAATCATTCGGTCTTTTTTTACATTAAAGTTTTTGCTTTATTTAGTGAAACAGTTATTATCAATGTAACAAGCTGAAAAATACAGCAACCCGGGAGAAGACTGAGGTAACAAAATACTTTTGCCAGAAGAAGAACCAAAAAAACCCAAACTTAAAAAGACTTCCACAGGAGGGTGAAAACTTCAGTAGTTTATCCGGGAGGAGACAATTCACAAGGAGTGGGAGAGAAAAGGCCTTTACAAGAAAATTCCATGCAATGGACCACTGGGAATATTATGGGTGAAAAGGGAGCCGGGGAAAACAGGAAAGAAAAGAAAAAAAAAAAAACACAAGGTCTCACCCAGGGAAAAAGAAATCCAAAGTCTAGAAATGGGTTGAAACCACAAAGGCCAAAACGGCTGAAATCCGGACACAATAATTTCCGCCTCTATCGGGGGCTACTTGGAAAAAAAAGAAGAAAAAGGAAAAAAAAACCTGCCCAGCATGCATTTTGGCACTAGGTTTACACGAGCTAATAAATTAAGAATAATGGGTGTGGCCTCGAGACACCGCTACACGAAGCACTGTGGTGGAAACCCAACGGATAGATGGAGGGACCCTAGTCCCCAAATTGGCTAAAGGGCGGTCAGTCCCACAGAGAGACTTGTCCTGGGCTGGGCAATGGGGGGGGGGGAGGTTTCAAAGGCGGGGGGGGAAACCCCCCCAACCCCCCTTCCTTGGAGCGCAGGCATGTTCGTACGTGCGCCAATCTCCGTTCCTTCAACCGAAAGGCATCTTCGCCTTGAGCTCTTTCGCTCTGCCAAGAAGATAATCTCCAAGTTGAAGGAGCTTCACAGAGGTGTATGTGCGTGTGAACGTACTCTTTCCGTGTGCGTGCCGGTAGTAGCCATAATAAGCACACGCCTTGGCCGCTCTCACCACCTGTCCCCTTGTAATCTTGGGGTGCCCTCTGCGGCCATCTCACCCGCACCAGCTCTGAAGGCCCTTTCCAAAGTGGAAAGGTTCTGTTTACTCAGTTTCGGCCTAGCCGTCGTTGGACAGACAGATGGGGGGCTCCGGATTGGGGGGGGCGGCGTGGAGACCGGATTTTTTGTAAAAAAAAATAGTACCAATATGCACCCCGTTTAATTCACAGTCAAAGATGCACAATAAAAAAGAACATTAAAAAAAGAAGCCGCTAAATAGAATCCTCATGCTTTTCATAGGACAATTACCATTTAAACGTGGATTACGCGAAGGAGGAGGAGGAGAAGAAACGGAAGGAGAGGGAGAAGGAGACAACACTGGTCTATTACTCATTTATTTCACTTTTTCAAACCACCCCACTGCCTGTATTGCTGAATGAAGCACCATGTTATTCTATCATCACTGTACATTCCCCCCCCCCCCCCCCCGCCGTGGGCTCCGCCCCTTAGACACCCCACCAAAAGCAAAAAACAAGGCAGGGCTTCTTTTTGTAAAACTGTTTCCTTTAAAAAAAAAATATTATTACTTAAAAAAGAAATTTAAGTGAAAACAGTCTCCTACATTCTAAATACAGAATTGCAGAGGGATTTGTCAAGGTTTTGGCATTCTCTCTGCCAACGCCTGCAAGTTTCTTTCATTACAAAGGAGAGGCATGTCGATTTCGGCACGTCGAAACAACCATGTTCTCCAATGTCATTAAAAAACAACAACCAAAAAAAACCCCTAGTGATTTGCAGTCCCAGAAACTCGAACTAAAATGATGGAAGTTGGTAAGGACAAAAACAACCTTCCCCCCTCTTTAAGACAGGGCCATGTTTAAAGTGGAGGTTTCCTCCCCCCGCCCTTTCTCACCCAATAAATCAATAATCAATTGTTGTTCTGAAAGCGTTTGACAATCAAGTCCTGAACTTTCTTTCTAGAAGTCAGACTGACTACAATTCAGCACACGCACAATTTCATAAAATTCGCTTCGTTTTTGTGTGGTTGGGGACGAACACGGGGACGGCTTCCGCAAAGATGGAGACTCCTTTCTTGAACTAAAACCGTCTCTGGCTTGGAGTCATTTCACTTTAATTAACTTGATCATCACCAAGTCAGGCCAGAATGTTTACCAATGGGGTTTGATTTTATTGCGCTAGTCCAACCCTCGGTGTTTACTGAAATTTAGCAGAGTTGTAAAAGGGGGTTATTGCGATTTGGGCTCAAAGTTTGCCAGATGCAAATTAGCTTCTTGGTTGGGTTAATTGGGTTGGAAGCCAGATTTTTTTAAATTGTCATTATGCAGCTGGTAAGAAGAGAAGGGCCTTTTTAAAGGCTCCAAGCGAATGGCGTATCCTCCTATACGGAGGCGTTACTGAACTGCCTGATATGAAAATCCAGAGAAAGGGTACATTCTCCAGAATAATCTTGGACTACAGACATTCAGAACCACAATGGATGCTACATCCGGACGATCCACCAGAAACTCCAACCTATTTCGCCATCCTGAAATCCTACAGCAACTACCCAGCTCGTAATAACCCACAATTTGTTGCAATGGTTTCTAACCATTTCTCCATGAGAAAAAAAACAAGGATTTGGGGTAGGGGGGGAGAAAGGGGGGGGGGCTGAGACCTGTTTTCTCATTTCCTGTCCAAACCCAAGAATTTCTCTTACCTTCCTTCGCTCTTAGAAACGGGAGATAAGACAAATACAGCGTGACACTTAAAAATGCATTACAATCATTAATGGCGAAGACATTTAGCATATATTTAAAGTAAACACGGCTTGGAAGAGAGCCAAGATTACAGTCCGATCAAGTAGCACGCTGGTCTTTCAAAGCCAAGGGTGTTGTTCCTCCAAAATGACCACTGGCTCACCTGTGTTAAGAAGCTGGATCGTTTGCCGACCCTTCAAGGTGCCACGAAGCAGCTCACGACTTCGTTGAATTGGGAAATGAAGAAACTGGGTGGACTTTGTTAGCCATGCTACCTTGGTTTAAAAGAACATTGGCTTTCTTGGCTGAGTAAAAGGGACTTGGTATATTTCTCTCTCTCTTAGGAGAATCCATATTTAATACTTTTCCCTCAACCCATGTTTTCTGGGATTGGGAAGTTCTAAAACCAGCCCTGCGGGGGGATCTAGGAGAAGCTTGCCCAGTGGGACATTTTGGGTGAACAGCCCCCTTCAGCCCCCCCTGCAAACACAATTTAAGGCAAATCTTCCCTTTGGGATGAAGCAACCCAGAAGGAGCCTTAAGATCAAGCGTATTTCAGCAGCACTTCAAGGTCCCTTCATCGCTAGGGGTACCTCCAGTTCATTTTAAAAACAACAAAACAAAACAACCACCACAAAATACAGCACAATTAATTATGAGTTACAAACAGAAAAAAAAAAAATTACAGGTGTTTTTTTTTTTTTAATCTTGTGCCAAAATACACATTTTCCCAAGTAGCTGAGCGCAAGGGCGACGTTGGTCGCATCCCTAGGTTTGATACAAAAATCTGAGGCAGCCACAGGGCAAAGCAACTCAGTGCACTTAAGGTTATAAAAAGGTTGTTTCACAACGTTCTATTCTAATTGACACTCTGCAGCAAGTTAACACTGTCAAATGTTTGTTGTTTTGTGCATTAGAAATAACTCTAAACCCAACATGGGTTAAAGTTCTTGACTCACATAAAGCAGCTTGACCGTAAAAAGAGCAGTTTAAAAAAAAAAAAAAGACATCTGGAGAGATGTGACGGATAAAAGTTTGTGGCAGGACAAGAACCCACAGCCGTCGTGACCTCCACGGCTAGAGTTAAGGACCCACGGATCCTGTGATGGGTCAGGCTGCCTCTCCAAACAGTCCAAATCCTGTCTTTCGTCAGTGCAGTGAGTCAGATCCTGTCCCAAGGATAACATTCACGTCTCTTTTTCTAGAAGCTGTATCATAATTACTTTCAAGTTATGTAGAAAAGTGCTGAAGTCGCTGTGGGAGACGGCTGGTTTGCTCTGAAGTCTTTTTCCTCTTTGCTTTAATGGAAACCCACCTTCCCATCTTGCAGTTTGGCACTGGACGTTATACCGCACACTGGAGCAGGTTACTCAAAGGACATAAGGTTTGCAGGTACCTGGAACAGCAAGGAAAAATAGTTAATGAAAAGTGCTGGATAAATGGTCCATGGATGGAAGATTTTCGCAAGAAGCCTCTTCAAGGCAAGTCAAAGTCAAGGCAAGTGAAGTAGAAGTCAAGTCAAGCAGAAGTCAAGTAAAAGTCAAGTAAATTCAAGCAAAGGAGAGGTCAAGTATAAGTAAGTCATCGAGAAGTCAATTATAAGTCAAGTCAAGAAGTCAATTATAAGTTAAGTCAAGAAGTCAAAGTCAAGTCAAGAAATGATGTATAAGTCGTCAAGTGGTCAAGTTCAGAAGTCATATATAAGTCAACCCAAGTCAAAGTCAAGAAAAAATCAAATAGAAGTCAAGTTAAATCAAGAAGTCAAGTATAAGTCAAGTAAAAATCAAGTAAAGTCAAGTAAAAGTCAAATCAAGAAAAAGTCAAGTCTACGTCAAGGCGTCAAGTACAAGTCAAGTCAAATCAAAGTCAAGTCAAATCAACTAGAAGTCAAGTCAAGTAAAGGTCAAGAAGTCAAGAATAAGTCAAGTCTACGTCAAGTCAAGTAAAGGTCAAGTAAAAATTCAAGGAAAGGTCAAGCTAAAAGTCAAGTAGAAGTCAAGTCAAACTCAAGCATGTCAAGTCAAAGTCAAGTCAAATATTAAACTATTTATTACAGCTTTGGCCACCCTTTGCATTAAAAAAGAGTAGAGTTAAAAAAGAGAAACAGCTTAACCCCAAAATTTGTTTGTAGATCTTTGGATTACAGCCTTTTGGATTACGAAAGTTTGGATTAGAAATGTTTGCAGCTCCTTAGCACTGTGCATCCAGCCTTATCTACCCAACCATCCTGCCAGTGCAGCCACTGATAAAGACCAGGACTATCATTTGTGATTGGTCCACCTCAAGTTACCTATGAAAATTGACACATGAAATGGACCAATCATAAATGTTTGTCCTACTCAGCATCAGTGCTTGAGTTAAGCAGGTAAGACTCCAATTCAATACTATGTTGTTTCTGGATTTAGCAAGGTGAAGAATCCAAAGTTTATATCATGTATCTCCTGGACTTCACCTACATCCAAAAGGCACCACAATGTCTTTGGTTCTCCTTCTCATTTTATTCTCTGCTTTTGGGTTAGAGATTGACCTACACAATGACCCTGGGAATGGGAACAAACGAAATTCGAGGGAAGATTTGTAACCCAGTTAGCAAAACATCTCCACTGTGTCGCTTACAAACTAAAACCAAGTAGAAGATGGGCTACCTGAGGCCTGTTGCTTCTGCAGGCATCATCCAAATGTTTGTGCCACAATATTGCATGAAACCTGGAACCGGTCTGAAACTTGTAAACATTGCCTGCAGAGTTTTTAAAAAAGAAAGAAAGATCTTTGTGATTTGCTAGCAACAGCAGCACTGAAGAATGATATCTTGAACGTTTTTTAAAAAATCCCCATTTGTACGATTAATACGATCAATTAATCATAATAGAGCTGGAAGGTACCTTGGAGGACTTCTAATCCAACCCCCTGCCCAAGTAGGAGACCCTACACCATTCCAGAGAAATAACTGTCTAATCTCTTCTTAAAAGCATCCAGTGATGAAGCACCTACAACTTCTGAAGGCAAACTGTTCCACTAGTTAATTGTCCTCACTGTTAGTAAATTCCTCCTTAGTTCTAAGTTGCTTTTCTCTTTAATGAGTTTCCATCCGTTGCTTCTTGTCCTGCCTCTCAAGGGTTTTGGAGAATAGCTTGACCTCCTCTTCTCTTCTCCGGGGTAGCCCCTCAAATATTGGAAGGCTGCTGTCATGTCACACATCTATTCTATTCTAAAGTCCCGCTAACAGGGCTTACCTTTATCTGGGTTGTTCAGCTGAAAAATATCAGGATGTTCAGGATCATCAGGAAGCGCTACCATCCAGCCCACAATGGAAACTTTCTTTCCCGGAGTCGATTTATACTGCGACAAGGAAATGTCAGATAGAAAAATAGCGGTCAGGTGGCTCTGGCTACCATCCAGGAAATGGGGATTTCTCCCCGGAGGGAGCTGCGACGGGACACGGGAAATCCTCACCCAAGCTCACAACCCCCATTTGGCTTACGTGCTTCCTCTCGCTGCCCCTTAAGGACTTGGCTCCGAAGTAGATCAGAGTGGATCCTGACAGAGTAATCCAGTACCTGGTCCAGGAAGACAGCTGGAAAAAGAAAGAAAGAAAGAGAGAGAGAGAGAGAGAGAGAGAAAGAAAGAAAGAAGAAAGAAAGAAAGAAAGAAAGAAAGAAAAAAAGAAAGAAAGAAAGAAAGAGAACTGTAAAAACCTTCCCCCTTACAAAAGTCCTCGACTTAATCACAGTTGTGTTCAGGGTCCATTTGAAGTTACAGCAAACCTGGGACAAGCCAGTTATGACAATTTTTATTCACTTGCAACATCCCTGAGGTCACATGACCAAAGTGGCAATGGACTCATACCTACAACGGTTGCAGGGTCCCGGTGGGGTGTGTGTGTCAAATCGATCCCCTTTTGTGATGAGCAAAGTCAAAGGGATTCCCTTAACAACCGTGGTATTCATTTAACAGCTGCTGGGTTAAACCCTTAACCACCAAGGCCATGAAGGGCTAAGTGAAACACTTAACAAACGTCTCACTTGGCAACCAACATCTGGGGTTCAATTGTAAGTTGCAAGCCAAGGGCTCTGCGTCGGAGGCAGAGATGGGGCCGGGGCTGTCCGACAGTTATCAGCTGCCTTCGGAGTCAGAGATCAGTGGGGAAGAAGAACAGCTGGAGCCTGTTCCCAGTGTGCACATGCACAGAGCTGCCAGGAGAAGGGAACAGCTGAGGAACAAGGGTTGACTCAGGAGTATAGGCACAGTTGGATGGAGAATGGCCCATCCCAGAGGGGTGAAAGGGGAGTGGTGTTTGCAGGAGACAATTAGTTCAAGTCATTTGGGTGAAGATGTGTTTCTGCCTTCTTGCCAAGTATTGTCTGCCACAGTGCGGCGTCTGGAAGACATTGGCCTGGCAGCTCTCCAAGCCGGATAAGGTCTGTGGTTGCAATTCACCCTTGAAAGACTGTTTGCTGGGACTTTGCTGGATGTGAATGAGAGGAGTTCACATTAGCCTAATAAAAAAAGGGGTTTTGCTGGGACGAGGAGCCTGCTTTGTGATTTTGTGAAGCCTCCGTCAGAACAGGAAGCGTCTGCCAGAAAACTACCAAGGGAGCCCCAAGGACTCCTCATTTCAACACGGAGCTACACAAGTTCTCAGACAGGTTTACTATTCCACCCCCACAATCCATTTCTCAATCTCATCAACTTAAGGAGCTGCCAATGTCGCTCCGTTGATTGAAACTGAAACGGAGACGCTTCTGCCCATGTAAACCATGATGGGCATCCAAGCTTTTGGCTAGGGTCAAAGCATACTTGACGTGGTTACCGTGGGCTTCCGGCCTTCCTTCAGCAACGTCTTTCTTCTCAGGGGGCCTTCCATAGTCACCACCCCCATGGAAGCCCCCGATCTGCAACTGCAGGCACCTGCTGGGCTGAACAAAGAGACGGACACAGGTTTGCGGAAATTAGATGATTACGACGGCATGCAAAATTCATACGGATGGAACCCTTAGCTCGAGCAACCTGTCTTCTTCTAAACATGGAGCCTGGGGGTTCTTTTCTTCTTCCTCCTCTTCTTCTATATTTGAAGACCTGCCTTTGTAATATAAGACTTGGTATTTTAGGGCCTGTGAAGTCCTTGGTGCTCTCTGAGCTGGGTGGGTTCTTTGCAGACATTTTATGACCCATCTAGGTAACATCATCAGTGCTGGAAGGGAGTGGGCTTTGTAGAAAGGGAGGAGGAGGAGGAGGAGGAGGAGGAGTGTAGGATCATTGATGTTCTCTCAGCTGGGTGGTTTCCTTGCAGACATTTCATGACTCAACTAGGTAACGTTATCAGTGCTGGGAGGGAGTGGGTTTGGAAGGAGGAGGAGGTGGGGGAGATAGTAGGGACATTTCATGACCCAACTAGGTAACATCATCAGGGCTAGAAGGAAGTGGGGGTTTGCTCTCTGTTTATATACTAGTGACCTGCCCTGTCAGTGCTGGCAGGAATGTTCTTGGTGGTCCTTTTGATTAGGCTGTTGTTTACTGTTGGCTTGTTTGTCTGAGTTGGTAGTTCCTCGATTGGGGTATTGTTGACTTCTTCATTGTTGGTCTAGGGTTCATCTTGGTGTTACTCTCAACTTACCTAGGTGCTGGTTGCTGGCGAGAAGATATTTGGGTCTGTTTGTTTCCCGATGATGTTACCTACTAGGCTACTGAAACGTCTGCAAGCAAACCGCAAATCTCAGACAGCACCAAGGACAGCGCAAACCCCGCTTCCTATTCATACTGATGACGTTACCTAGTTGGGTCTGCGAGAAAACCACCAGGCTCAAAGGGCATCAAGGATCGATCTCTCCTTTCAACGATGCGTTACAAATATTCTCTTCTAGAAGTACTTTAAGTCCAATCACAATGAAACCCCATTTCCTGACCAAGTGGGTGTGTGTGTGTGTGTATGAAATGCAGCTTTTCTTGGCTGGTGGCAGCGCTCACAACACCACTGTGCTTGACGACTAGGAAGCCAAAACGGATCCTAACTTTTCCCCACTTTGGCAGGGAGAAGATTCTAAGCAGCAACTACAATTGTTATTAAATACATACAAACCCTCAATGGTGGACAAGAGTGACGTTTTCCCAGTTGGAACTGCCTATTAACCGAGAGACAAACCAAACCAAACCAAACCAATGGGCAGAATACATGAGGGTGCATTAGTAAAAATAAATAAATAAATGAGGTTTTTTTTTTTAGCATACTAGCCAAGGCGAGGGATTTTTTTTTAAAAAAACGGTAAAGGCGTTTGAAAATATTTATTCAAAAGATAAAAGAGAATGAACGAAAGGTAGAAAAAAAATAAGGGCTGAAATGGAAAATGGATTGGAGAGAGGGATCTTTTCCAAGGCGGGAAATCTTTTTCTCCCGCACGGAATTCACGACATCTTCAACTGCCGGAGGAATCTCCAAAGCCAAACGCTGAGCCCAGCAAAAGAATTAAATCATGAGGATGAGGAGGGTGAAGAAGAAGAAGAAGAAGAAGAGGAGGAACAGAGGAAGATATGCAAACTGGAGCTGGGAGGAACAAATGGTTTTTTTTTCTTTTCTTTTGGCTAACCTCGGACAAACTGACTAGGATGATTGCAACACCTCTGCCCCCCCCCCCCATCTGCTCTTTTTATTCTTAAGCCTTATATATGTACTAACTCGATCCCCGTGCTTTGCTACGAAACTATGTGGTCGGGCTTAGTTTTTGGGGAGGAAAATATGGCGGGGGGGGGAGGAATTCTGCCTCAGCCTACCAGCATCCACCGGCATTCATCTGGCTAGCATACTGTTAGTGTGTGAGGGAGTTGAGGGCTGTTTGGAAACTGAAACAATATCTGTTGTGTGAGCAAGAAGGAGACAGCCAGGAGCCTGGGCGTGGCTTAGCTTAACTGTTCTGTACTAAAGCTGCTTGGTGCTCTGAAACTGAAACTCCTCTCCTCTGCTTGTGTTCTGTATTTGGAAGAGATTTCTTTTCAGGTGGGGAGGTGGAGTAGAACGCTTTAGCATCAGAGCGTGTTAATAATAATAATAATAATAATAATAATAATAATAATAATAATAATAATAATATAGGAAATATTAATGCTCTGATGGTCATTTCGAAAAATCCTTTCTTAGTGAGTTTTTATGTTTAATTTTGGCAGCTTTGATTTTTTTAGACAGATGTTGCCTTGTAGCTTCTTTGGAACTACAAGGCAACTTTTCAAAGCATCCACTTAAGAAGCCACTAGTAAAATCCACGGGGTTTTAAATGTGCTTAAATCTGGACAATTCTTATACATCTTTATTTTTTCATGCCTCATGATTGTTCCAATAGGAGAAAGAGGTCTAAACTGGCATTTTTATTCAGCATGTTTATGCGCAGCGTTGCACGTAAGCATGAGAAGTGAGTAAAAATGTGGGGTTTAAAAAAAAAAACCCTCTTCTTGTAACATGAGAAGGAAGTCACTGTGCAGATGGGGAAACAAAAATGACAATGCTTTTGAAAATAAGGTCTGAATTAGCAAGGGAGGGCAAAAGAGAGGGTGAAAATAAGATTTGGCACCATCGTCCAGAGAGAGAGAGAGAGAAAATAAAAAGAGAGACAGACCCACCACCTAATTGTACCTGTAGACACAGCTCCGACTTCTGGGTGAAGTCCGAATTGGCACCCGCCAGTTGGGCCCCAGCGTGGCATACAACCGACCCCTGTTTACACGAATTCACACGTTAAGTTCTTTAGTTAGCAGGCAAGTCGCGAGGCAACCTCCCCCCCCCAAAAAAAATTAAACCACACAAAAGGAAAGGTGGGCCAAACACCACGGAATCACGGCTACGTTTCTCACGTGTGTAAACTTAAAGTAAGATGAGCGTTGGGCGGGAATTGGAATCAAGATGTCCGTTTCTCAAGTGTGTAAACTTAAAGTAAGATGAGCGTTGGGCGGGAATTGGAACCAGACATCCGTTTCTCAAGTGTGTAAACTTAAAGTAAGATGAGCATTGGGCGGGAATTGGAATCAGACACCCGTTTCTCAAGTGTGTAAACCTAAAGTAAGATGACCGTTGGGCGGGAATTGGAATCAGACGTCCGTGAAGAAAAAGGAGTTGTTGTTGAAGCTTCCCAAGGACTTGGAAGAGCAACTTGCGAATGAAAGGGCTATTTTTTGGGGTGGGGGGTGAGGGGTAGGAAGAAAATTTGCCTGGTCAGGTCGAAAGGCAAAGCTGGGAAAATTATCCAGGAAACAAAACACACCCCTAAAACCAGAAGAACCACGGGGCGCGTTCAAAATCCATAGCAAGAAGAGCCAAGAATGAACAGGTGCGACCTCCCATTGAAAGCAAAGAGTGGCTTTAATTCTAGCTGAATAAACCAGGAACAGTCAACGGCCCTGATAGTAAACAGACACGGTTCCTCCCTTTGAAGAAATCAAAACTCTTGTTCTTTAATATTATTCTCCACCCACCCTTCATCGTGTGCCATTTGGAGAATAAATGCATTTTGACCAAATTGGCTTTCCAGCTGAGTTGTTGAGATCAAAACAGTAGCTGCTTAGGCGACACCTCACCAAGGCAAACAAGATTCTTCAGAGAGAAAAAGAATATCATTTGAATGTACGATGGGATATACATGGCAAGGTGTATTACGCCACCACGTTTACACTTCTTATTATGGAAATAGAATCAGGTACGGAAATACAATAATCCCTGATAGAAAACCAAGAGAACCAAGATTTGTAATTATAATGTAAAAATATAAAAAGTGCTCCTCCAATCTCAGACACCCCAGTCAAACGTAGCTACCCAAATGCCCAAATGTTGGTCTCCAAGCAAATAAAACAGGCACAATTTTGATTCCTTGCCGAATAAAACAACCTTAAAGCAGATATCTCAAGTTCAGTTAATTCTCCTCTGAAGCGAGAATCCAAAACTTTGGTTCAAAATCTCTGAAAACTGGAGTTCCTGTCTCCAAATTCCAAAAAGTACTTCAATATTTTTTTTAAAAAATCAATCAAATTCAGACCTGTCACTTCTCGGTTAAGAAATCAAGATTTTAGAGGGCAGGAAAGAGATTCTGGTGTAAGAAATGAATCTAGAATCACAAAGAGCTACCCAAAGGGGGCTTACCTGGAGCCCAGATGTAGGTGGAAAAGGAAACAGAGGGAGATTGTGGGTTGCGATTGACAATGATCAAATATTACCTTTGGTGCCAGCACAATGAGAAATTTTGCACTCTAGTTAAACCAGGTTTGGAAGTATTTATTCTAAAGTTCGACGCCACGGGAAAATCTAGTGTGCTGCTGGAGGCAATGCACACAAGAAACGATTGCAAAATTCACAGTACATTCACAGCCACAGAGAAAGAAAATGTACAGCAACCCTTCTCACTTCTTTGCGCAACCCCACAGTCTGAATTCAGGTCATTCGGATTATCGGAGACTTTGGTTAAATGCAACTCATGTCCCATTCATTCCTAGTCAAAGGCAAAGCTCACCTTTCCAGCCCCGATGACGGCTCTTCGCTGAATTCTGAACTTTCACTGCTTTCTGCAAAACAAAGGGGGAAATATTTAAAGCAGGGGAAGG